CTAGGCCCGTAATAACAGACAGAATATAGTATGAACTTAGATTGAGAATCACAGTTGACGAATGAGTCAAACAATACTTGATAGAACTAACGAGGAAACTTGAAAAAACTAATAAAAACAAACAAACACACACACACGCACACTCTGACTTTATCTTGATTACTGCCCTTTTTATACGTGGCTTCCGTCTGCTTAGGTGATTAGCTTGCAGCCCCTCCGGAAGCTTCCCCTCAGGGGGCTACAGTGACCTTAAGTGACCCTACAGTGCCTTTCGCGAACGGTCGCGACATCAGGCGCTTAAATTTTTTTCCTTATAACGCAATAAAAAAGTTTTCTAGTCAAAATATCCTACAGACGCAGTTTGGATTCTGCCAAAATTTTTACCGTCTTCGTTTGTGCACCACATGTAAAACAAAGTAGTGCCTGCGTTACGGTCAAGGTAATTTTGTTTTTTTCCTTTTTAGCTACAGATTATTACTTCTAGAAGTTTTTTAGAAGGTTTGCTGCACTATCTCGTTCAGTAGAGGTTCGTGTTTTATAAAACGATAGAGTACTTTGGATGTATGGAAAGACGAAGTGGTCTTTGACATGTCTTGAGAAGGAACTTTATCGTTTTTTTTTCTGTAAATTTTTAGTCAAAAGAGGATAAAGCTTTCTCGTAAAACTTTATATGATTTTAGCTCTGAAGCTTGCTGATTTCTTAAATCTATTTAGATGGAGATGTGATTGCATCAGTGTGGTTGATTTTTGCAGCTACTTTAAAAAAAATAAAAATCTTTGTTTAATGATGAGTTTTTGTTGCAGTGAATGTACACAACATCGCTCACGCGCTTCAAATTGATCTCCCTTTGTATGCCGACAGTGGCTTTTATGACCAGTTTTTAATATCAGTGCGACAGAGCATAGTCGAAAAACTTCTCAATTTTTCCCGGTAATAAACAAGTGACCTATCTTGACTGCATATGCTTTTGAGACCAGAAGCTCAAAAATCAATGTCAAGCACTGGCGAAAAGCTACACTAGAAACTTCTAGAGGCAGTTGAAACGGTTGGCGGTTGATGAGTTGTCAAAGACTAAGGATGTAATAATGATACTGAGGGATGAAACTATTCTTTCATCATTTGTGGTTATTTGCCTTTGTATGAAACGCGTTTTTATAATAAATCATTTTATTATATTAACTTCATAATGAAATAAAGTTGATTAAAATTGAGACTGTACATTAAGTATGGAACATGGCATATTGTAGGCTACTTGTATTGAAGTGACAAGCAATACTAGCAGAAAAAAAATAATATCCAACGCTAAAGTAGCCAGAAGAATCGTTAATTTTTCGTGCGGGTGAAAGCGAAGTAAAGAATTTGTTTTTCGCAGAAGAGTTAGCACGTCCGTGATCATGCCAATGATAAACAGAAGTATTTCAAAATGCAAGTAAACGGTTAGACGATGCATCAAATTAAGCAAAAGCTCATCCTTAAACTTACAAGTTATTCTTTTACTGAACACTTGTTCAATCAAAATAGATAATAAAGGGAAATCTTCCTTAACGGTTTTTTAAAACATTATTGAGCGTCATTTCTTTCAAAAAGTAGTCGGTAACCTTAGGCTCCGGAAGCTATCATTTTTGATGAACGAAATTTGTTAAAGGTTTTGAAAACCAAAACTCGCTTTTGATTTTAGGAGAATTTTGATTTAAAACTTTTTGATGATTTACAGCGTAATCTCTGATGTTTCAGAGAGAGGTGTAAGTGTACAGCTGATTCTGTGATTAACAGTGATCTTACTTTTAATTATGGCGCAATACAAATATAACCTGATTTAAAAAAATTATAATTAGTCCTGCTGTTAAGTGCGTACTAGCATGTCATCAAATTTTTCACTATTGGCATTCAAATAATTTGATTTACTGAAAAGGTTGTAGAGAGTAACTCGTAGAGGTTTTGATAGAGTAAATAAAAAAAACTGACTAATTTTGCCAATGAAACTCTATGTAGGCTAAAAGCCAAATTTTCAATGATTTATTTTATTTTATAATATCCAAAATTTTTCTACTTTTCTCTTTTCTTTATTTCTATTCTAATTTTTTTTAGTACTCCTGTCATAAAGGGAATACGCACTCTTTAGCTAAGCCAACTTAGTTCACTGCAGGCACAACTATGTCATAAACGATGACCAAAAATTAACAGTATATATTTGTGATAAATAATTTATGAGCGAGTTACTTTCACCGTTACAGTGTTTGTGATTAAGAGAAACAAAAGAAAAAACTAACTTACAATCAGACGTCAGCAAGTTTTACTGCACATTGAGATGATTATTACAGAACAAATGTTGCAGCAGAGAAATATTTTTTTTAGATATATACGAAGCTAATCTAGCAAAATAGTTCAAAGGGTAAATAAATAAAACATTTATTCCATTCACATTTACAGTTTCAATGGAACTCTTCCATACCAGTCAACTTGTAAACCCTCAATCGAATTCTTTTCTGTTGTAGCTTTGAAAGCTGCAGATATAAATGCAAAAAATTTCACGATGAGATTGTCCAGCATCATATTATAAACCAAGGAATTTCAGTCTATTTACGTTGGTCCGCATCGTGTAGAGAAACCTTCAAGTGCTGGAGAACCAATACAGAGAAATCCGGCTCCTTCTGGAGATATAGACCCATAATTGAGTGGAAATGGCAACTGCGGTCTCGCAAAAACAACAGCAACAAAAGCGAGAGCAAGAGTCAACGCTAACAATTTTTTTATCATTAAAATTGCAGTTGAACAAAAGCAACTGATTGCAGTTTACAGTCTTAGGGTAAAATAATAATAATGATGCCAGTCAATAAAGCAAAAGAAAATTTTGCTATTTAAAAGAGTACAACTGGTTTAGTTGATGTAAAACACTGGAGAAACAAAAGCTTTAAAAAGTCAAAAATTTATCAGTTTAAAGTGTACATTTTTTGCTGTTTCTTTCTAGCACAAGAAAACAAAACGAAACCAATCAACCAAAAAATCAACTGAAAACGTACTTTTTTTAATTCCTAACATTTAATTGACAGATCAGTTTCATTTTTTCTTAACGCACACAGTTTCGATAAAAAAAATAGTTGCGTAAAAAATACTCTTGTAATTCATCATTAATAGGCTAGAACAAACTAATCTTTTCAAAAAATAAATTCAATTTTCTTCAAAAAAGATAAAAAAATAACTTAATTAAGAAAACTTTGTAATTTTATTGGTTGACTTCTGCATGGTAAACAAGACATAACTGTTACACAAATGAGATAGATATTTGAATTAACATAAGGAAAGAATGAACTACAATTTGAACAATTTCTTGTACACTGAATGTTTAACAGCAATTTCCTTAATCGAGTGGCAGTAACATAAAGGTTATTCTTAATTTTGTGTTACATGGAACTTGAAAGTTTGCTAGTGAAAAGCATCTTTCAACAGTTTCATCATTCAGCAGGGCTCAGTTACAGTGATTTGGTTGGAAAGAAATCAAAGCACGTTTTCAATCTGCTAATGGGCAACTTCTTCAATTTCAGCAACAGCAGCAGTCGTCGCTATATATTGAGCTGTTACGTCTCCAAACTGAAAAAAAATATTGCCTTTTTTGCCGCTAGTGCCATTGTCGACCGAAAATCAAAAACGTCATGTTTTTGTTCCTTTTCATTTGGTGTTTTTGCTTTTGTTTTCGTTTTCTTATTTACATTTACATTTTTTGCTTATACATTTACATTTTCATTAATTTTTTCTATCCACTTTTTTTATTTACATTTATTTATATTTATATTTTCTATTGATATTTTTTATTTACAGATGCTTTTATTTGCAATTTTGAGAAGGAATATAACGCTGAGAAAAATAATGCAAAAATAGTGCGAGACATGCTTTAAAAATTTATAACAACTATTTTTTTCTAAGGTATATATGAAAATAGCGACTATAATACTGGTTAAGCCTCTTTGCAACGGTCAAATTTTTGTGATTGTACAAGGCAATCTCGGAACTTAAATTTATTCCTAAATTGAAAGCTTTACTGCAGCTACGACGGTTAGACTTCTGACTGGTAAAATTTACTAGAAAGTTACAGTTTTAGCACCTAATTTTAATTCTCAATTTCAGTTCAGTGCAGAGAGCTTTTCACAGACAGTAATTTAAAAAAAAATTTTTTACCGTTTCTGATCACTGATAAAGATAAAAGTTAATCCCCTGTACTATTTCAAGCAAATTTTGAAACGGAACCATTGACCAAAAATTATTTTAGAAAATTCTTGTTTTTTATAAGCAAAGCGGAACGTCTAAATGACTGCAGTCTTCTTCATTGCTTTTTAGACATTGTCACAGAAATTCGGTTTACAGATTTTACTGCTTTTCCAAAATAAAACAAATCTTAAAACAAACTTTGATGTATACTTGCTCTGTAACATAAGCTGCACGAACCGATGAAATATTTTTTTTCCCAGCATTGTCTCCTTAGTATTAAAAGAAAGGTCTCTATTTTGATCAAAATTTGTATAAAACTGTCTGGCAACCTCTTGAACAGCAGAGTGTAGCAAGTTTATTTAAAAACTAGTTAACTCCTTCTCTTAGAGTAAATTAAACAAGGTTAAAAAATTATTTTAAGTTTTTTCTAACTACACATTGAAAGAAAAGTTTTTATCAAAAAAATAATTTTTGCAGCATCAAAGAATTCCACATTTAGTATAATAGCTGTAGTAATTTGCATTTGTATATGACAAATGCAGTAAAACGAATCAAGTGATTTGCGATTAAACGCAGGAGTCAACGTTTATAAATAACCAAAAAAATATCCTTCAGACGTATGTCAGAAATAAGTCGCTAAATAACAAGTCATTCTGTAACTGTTAGGCGCTTTTTTGGCTTGTTCATTTTACAATAAGGAAAAGAAGTGAAACAAAATTGTTATCGTGTGGTACAAAAATAATGGACGAACGGCATGTGCAAATAAAGTAAACAACAAGACCAAAATCTAATATGGAGTCTAGCAGAATTTACCAACGGTCAACTATTTTTACTAATTTTTTCTAATTCTATAAAAGATCAAACTGCTAGCGATGGTGATAAACTCATTTACATCATTTACATAAAAAATCCTAGCTGCAACGAACCAGAATTGGAAACAAACAAAACGCTTAATATTGGTTTTTAAAAGCTTAAAAGAAATGTATATAGAGTATATGCAGTCATACTTGATTATCTTCCTCATTTACCAAAGCTATGATTTCATTTTTAAACTAAAATATTATTAACGGAAAAAAAAGTACAGCTTTGCTGCTATATGAGCTTGATTTGTCATATTTTCTCAAGTTGTTTTGTTTAGAATTGAAATGCATTGTTTGTTTTAATAGAATTATAAAATTATACGTATAATAGCTTTGAGTATTTTGACTGACTGTTCTTGTTGTTTTATCTTTTTCTTCTGCATATGATGTTTCAGTAAGACCTTTATCTAAGCATCTTAATAAATTAATGTTTCTATCTTTTTTTTTAAACTTTAAACGATTTCATTTTTTCAGAAAAAAATTAAAAAAAACGACAAAGCTCAGACGAGACGGTGTCGCCGGCTGATCAGTGGCTAAAAAGCAATTGTAAAAAAAACTATGTTTCACATCATTTTACATTCGAAAATATAAACAGCGCATTGATCTACTAAAGAGCTTTGAACCATCGCATAATCCTTGCTAGGTTTCTTCTTTATTTGCTTCCAGACTTGAATTTGTCGAGCTTAAAACCCGACTGGAATGCGCTATGAAAAGGGTTCTCTAGTTTAGAGCTTTAGACCACTTCCTTATAGTAAAGGGTGTAGGCAGTGGAATGATAATTCCAAAAACTACTACTGTTTGACCAGAAAGACTCATCTGAAGCGATTAATAAAAAATTTAGAGAACAATCACAGAATTTTGCCGGGAAAGTTTGGCTATATATGCAAAAATGATGCCTCAACTAAAATGAAACATTTGGCGTTTGTAAGACTGTCTAGTCAAGGAAAAGTGCTTGTACTTCATTATAATGGTTCGTTCATTATCAGCCAACGTCACTATTAAAAAAACACCTTGATTGATCTTCTAGAAACTGAGCTCTTAGGATAATAATGTAAACAGTCTAATACATCGAAGAATAAAAATTTTAGGAATTTGGTCACACAGATATCATATTACCATGCGTAAAGGGAGGAAGCTTTCTAAATTGCGCGCTCAACAACCTGCCGAAGCCGATGTGATATTAAAAAGAACAATCTGTAACTTCCTCATTTTCACTCCTTTTTTCCTTTTAATTTGAAAAAAATCTAACTGAACCGTCAAAATTTTCAAACAAATAATTGCAGTGTGCTAAACAAAGAAATTTTATAATTTGCATTTTATTGCACGTTTAGTTTACACATCGAAAACATATCGAAATTACTTTGTTAGTAACAGTAAGATAATGGAGATCCATCAAGAGATCGCTTCTGATGATTGCTGAGTCGCGATAAATTAGTGCTTATTTCCGTATACTTCCACACCAGCTAGAGTAGCCGGCGGTTGCCGGTGATCCGAAACAGAGATAGCCGTCGCCTCCCTGCGCTGTATAGCCGAAGTTTCTATTGAACAGAAATTGAGGTCTGGCTGATACAATACAAGCAAGGGTAAGAATAATAAGTATCAGAAACAGATATTTTGTTGCCATTCTAAAGACTGGTATAAAGCGACCGGAAAGTATGAAGTGTCAAGAGACGCGATTGCAGTAGAAAGAAAGTGTAGAAGTTGGGACTTTTCTAGACAATTTCTTGCTGAACTGCGAGGTAACCTTTCTGTTTAAATAGTTTCCGACGAATCAAATCACACTGGTTTTTTGTTTCTCAAAAATTTTTTTGTTTTTCAGATCGAAATGAAGGCGGTAGGAGGGGCATGGAATTTTGGGTTGCAAAGAACTTTATGGTCGATATTGAGTAAAAAATCCAGTTTGGCGTTCTGTATTACTCCCTTGTAGTCATTATACCTGTAACAAAAGCCTAAAGTTCATGCTGGTAAAACAAGTTTAACACTTCTTGAATACTGTAAAAAAAGCAAGCACAACTAAATATATACAGTAAAATTAGTACTTTCCTTAATGAAAATAGCTTATAAAAGTTTAGGTAGACGTATTTCTTAGGAAATCACTTTTTTGGTGTTTACATCCTCCTAGTCATAAGCATTATTTAAAAAATGAGATGTAGTACTAGTCGTAAAAACCATCTATGTCTTTCTTCTCTGAAATGCAGTTTAACTTTTTTGAGGCAGAGACCATATAGAAAAAGTTATTAGAAAAACTGATAGTTTATGAGGTGAATTGTCAAGTTTCTTGCTT